TTCAATTTATATTAAAACATTTTTGGGGGGGCAGGGATTTGGATTTTGGGTCACACTCAGTGATGCTTAGAGGTTACTCCTGGCTCTGTACTAAGGAATGGTACTTAGGAGACCATGTGGGATGCCTGGGATTGAACCCAAGTCAGCTGTGTGCAAGGCAAACACCCTACCTGCTATACTATTTCTCCAATCACTTATCACTTAATCACTTAATCCTCGTTATTCATCGATTTACTCAAGCGGGTGCCAGTAACGTCTCCATTCATCCTGGTTGAGTGCTAGCGTAGCCCAATGGCATCTGTTCGTTCTAGGAACATGCAGAGCCTCAAACCGATCATTCAGGGTCTTGACGAAGAAGTCTGACCATCTTGTAGGTGGGCGTCCACGCGATCTTTTGATGTCCCGTGGAATCCAATAATGGCTGGAATCCAGTAATGGCTCTAATCCAGCGGTTGTCTGTAAACCTCATTACATGTCCAGCCCATCTGATTTTTGATGCCTTGGCAAATGAGACAGCGTCCCTGATTCTTGAGCGTTGACGAAGATCAGAACTCCGGATTCTATCTCTCATTTGAGTGAATCGTGATATTCCAAGCATAGCTCTTTCGATTCCTCTTTGAGAGACCTGAATAGTGTTCTCATCCTGTTTTCGTAGGGCCCAGGTCTCTGAGGCATATGTTAATGCAGGAAGAACAGTGGAATCAAAGAGATGTGCTCGTAGCTGGAGGTTCTTTGTCCTCTTAGTTAATTCTTCAATGCTCTTGAAGGCATTCCAAGCCGCTCTCTTCCTCCTGCACAACTCAGGTGTCAGGTCATTCATCATGTTGATTTCTCGACCTAGGTATATATAACTGTTGCATTCAGAGATGGTGGTTCCGTTGAGAGTGAATGGAGCGTCAGGAACAAGGCTGTTTCTCATAAACATTGTCTTCGTAAGATTCAGCTGTAGTCCGACCTTTCCACATTCATGGTCGAAGTCAGTCAGCATTTGTGCCGCTTGGCTGATGTTTGGTGTTATTAGAACGATGTCATCAGCAAAGCGGAGGTGGTGTAGTTGCCGACCATCTATCTTCACTCCCACGCTTTCCCATTCCAGTCGTCGCATGATGTTCTTGAGGGTGGCACTGAAGAGTTTTGGTGAAATGGTATCACCCTGCCGAACCCCTCTCTTGACATGGATGATTACTTCTTTGTAGAATGGTGAGATCCTGGTAGTGAATCCGTAATAGAGCTCACGAAGGATCCTGATGTATTGAGTTTGTACGCCCTGATTGGCTAGGGTTTCTGTGACTGCTTCTGTCTCAACAGAATCAAAGGCCTTCTTTAATCAGTGAACGTTAGACAAAGCGGCATCTTGAACTCCTGAGAAACCTCAATGAGCTTAGTAATCGTGTGGATATGGTCGATGGTACTGAATCCTTTTCGGAATCCGGCTTGTTCACATGGTTGTCCTTCATCTAGTGTTCTGCTAATCCTATTCAGGATGACTCTAGTGAACAGTTTGTAGATGATAGACAATAGGCAGATTGGGCGATAGTTGCCAATGTCGTGGATGTCTCCCTTCTTGTATAGTAGTACAGTCCTGCTGGTTTTCCACTGGGATGGAACCTTGCATTCAGACAGGTAGCGTGTGAAGAGCCGAGTCAGTGTATTGATGAGTACTGGTGGTAAGTTCTTCAGGTGTTCAGGTCTGATCTTGTCTGGGCCAGGTGCTCTTTGTTTCTTTACCGACAAGATGGCATGTTGGATTTCGGAAGGGACAACATTGGGAACGACATATCCATCATGTGGAATGTGGTATGTGGGCAAGTGGACATGGCTATTAAAGAAATCTGAGTAGAAGTCATGAATAATACTTGTATTTTTTTCAATACTTGTATTTTAAGTTTAATTAAGGCTGTCATTCACAGAAACATATAATTTAAACATTATAAGTACAAAAATATACACCAAGGGGCTAGAGAATAGTACAGCGAGTAGGGTGCTTGCCTTGCATGCAGCTGGTCTGGGTTCAATAACTGATATCCCATATGGTTCCCCAAGCCTCACCAGGAGTGATACTTGACACAGAGCCAAGAATAAGCCCTGATCACTGCCAAGTGTGGCCCCAAAATAAATTTAAAAATAGACACCAAATGTTATATTTTAAATTTTTATTTATGCTGCTTTATTCTCAATTATAAAGTGTACTAAAGTTAAAAGATGCATATGCTCTGAGAAAATGCCAGGAAAACTGAGATTAATTAGACTAAAGATTTGGGTAGGTTTTGAAACTAGAAACATAAATACCCAGAATGATGGATCTCTCTATCCCATCCATATCTAGTTCCTTTTTATAATCACTTTGTCTTGGGCTACAAAAACCAAAGCAAAGTGTCGTAATCAAGCACATTACCTGATTAACACACACTACATGATTAAACACACATTACCTGGTTATCAACTCATAAAAATTTTCAGCTCCCCACTAGGTAAATCACATGATTGGATATTACATTTTGGGGCTCAGGATCTATACATATGTTTTTCAGCTTCTAAGACATACTTGCATTTGATGGAAAGATTTCGGATATAAACCTGGTGTTGATACTATAACTGACCTCTGCTTGAATTTTGAATCCCCTACATGGTGATTTCCTCTGACTTGCTCTCAGGATTTCTGAAGTCATTCTATTAACATGCATAAGTCTTGTTTGCAAAAAATTTGCATTTCTTTCTGCTCATCCATGAAGTTGGCTGAGGAGAAAATCATGCCAGGTGTAGTGAGTATTAAGTTCTGGGAATACAAAAAAAAAAAAAAGAACCATTTATTTAAACTTAAGAAACTGAGGTTCAAATGGGGGAGTGGGACCCTTGAAATTAACAGAAAATCATTGTACATGTTCAATTCGTTTCTCTTGTTCAAAGAAGGGCAAGTGTCCATGTTATTGCTGGTACCCAATACATAATGATAGTACACTCAGTATGTAAGTTTAAAAAGAATTGACACATATGTTGCCTGAGCCCATGTGCTGCTTGTGCCGGCGTGGCAGAGCACATGTGGTGCCCAAGCACATGTGTCGCCTGCATCTCCTCTCTTGAGATGTGTACTTTCATGCTTTTGTGTATAATGCTAGGATGTGTGTAGAGGCTCTCCCTCCACCCTTGGAGAAGCCCGTGTTCTCTCTTGAGTACATTACTCTCACTCTGTCCCTCTCCACACCCTAAAAATCCTCCAAATAAAATCTATTTATTTAAAAAAAAAGAATTATACAGGACTGGAGATATAGTACAGTGGATAAGGTGTTTGCCTTTCATGTGCCAGACCTGAGTTTATCTCCAGCATCATATATGACCCTCCCCCCCCAAAAAAAATTATAAAGAGTTCTAGGAGACTCAGCACAGGTCATCTGCCAACTTTTATGAGTGAATATGGGATTGTCCTGGTGAAAATGTGCCCACCCCCGCGTAGGGGGTAATAAAAAAATTCCTTGCACTTGAGGCCTGCAGAGTCTGAGGAATTTGGTCAACGTAGGTAGCAGTGGGATTGCGGGCTTTTTTAGGAGGATCCATAGGATTGCCGAGGAAAATTTCAAGTAGTTCCTGAATGCCCAGAGACCACTGTGCAGAGGAACCGTGTAGTCTGCATATTTATCTAGTCCCATTTAGATAACTCTGTGCGGATTTAGAATACACCATCACCTACTCCTGCTAAACTATTAACCCACGGATGCTAAGATGACACCTCTTATAAACTTGGGTTTTGAGTCGCCCCTCGAATGTTACTGCAGGACTCAACGTCCAGCCGCACAAAAGAATGAATAATGCAGTGTGGGCTCTGGGCAATGACCAGGTTCTCTTGGTGGTGGGGGTGGGGGTGGCACTGGGGAAGCGTGGAAGAACCAGAGTCCAGGTCATAACTAATGGCGAGATGGGCATCATCTCTTTAGAAATTAGGGGCTGAAGAGAGTACAGATGGCAGGGCGCTGGCTCCGGAAGTGGCTGACCTACAAGTGGTTCGATTCTCAGCACCCCATATGGTCCTCTGAGCCCTGCCACGAATGAACCCTGGGCACAGCCGGGTTTGGCCCCAAAGAAAAACAACCAAACCCCCAAACCAAAAACGAGACAGAAAACATCAGTCATGACACGTGTGTGTGTGTGTGTGTGTGTGTGTGTGTGTGTGTGTGTGTGTGATGGTGTTGTTTACACTTCTTTCCTAGTGGGAAAACGAAGAAACCTTGCAGACGCTTTCGAGTAGACTCTGGTCCCAACGTGGGGGGCGAGGACCTGGGCCTGGCTGCGTGACACCCGGACCGCCAAGCCGTGAGCACCTGTTGGTGCTGCCGACTCGCCCAAGGTACCAACAGGTCCGAGCTGCTGCGGGTCCTTTCCAAGGATGGAAAGCAGCCCGTGTCCCCTCGGGGACTCCGCGGCGGTGCACCGGGACGTGACACTCAGTCCAGAGCGAAAGCGAGGTGTGCGCGCGGAACGCGGAACGCCGGGTTCCTGGATCCCGCCGGACGCGGTTTCCTTCGCACCCTCCAAGAGCCTGCCTGGCAGTGGAGCATCTCCGCCGGGCCGGGAAGCCGTGGTGGCGGAGGGAGAGAAGCGCTGGGGCCCGCCGCCGTCCTCGACAGCCTTCATTCTAGCTGAGCCATCCCGAACTGCAGCACGGGCGTCTCGGCCTCTCCCTTCGGTAGCGGATTAGATGTCACGGCGATTCGGAGGTGAGCCCCGCGGTCGCTCGGCTCCGGCGCTAGGACCAAGAGGACCGCCCTCCGCCGCAGACCCGGCCCCCTCCCCCGCGCTCCGGTCCCCGGCCCAGTTCCCGGCGAGGCGCGCTGGGAGAAAGCTGCGGGCCCTTTCACTACTTCCGGGAGACGCGGAGGAAAGCCGGCCCGCCGGGGGTGGGGGGGTGGAGGTGGGGGGTGCCATCTCGTCTCCGATTGGCTAAAATTGCTCTCTGAACTTCGCTCCCCTAACTGGTGATTGGTTCGGACGCGCCGTCTGTCACCTCCTTCCCCGGAGGGAATCTAGGTCGCTAAGGGAAGCGTTACTCGAGGCTTGGTGGGGAAGAGGTTAGTTGGGCCCCGGGAGCCCAGTTTGTTGATGGCGATGGGCTCCGTCCCCTTGGCACGAGTTTCCGATACAACGGTCGGGGAAAGAAGCCTGCGGCGGGACGGAGGGCGGAGGACGGTGGGGGCTGTAGGGTTGGGAGGTGGCAGAAGGCGGAGGTTCGGAAGTTAAAGCTTGGAGCCAGCGAAGTCCGGCCCGGTGCAGAAGGGAAGCGGGCAGCAAGGCCGGCCCTCGCGGGGCGTGCTGCAGTGCCCGCGGCCGTGTCGCGGGGAAAGGCCTAGCTGGTGCCGTGCGGGGGAAGGGGCCTGACGGGGGACGATCGCGACCGAGTGGTTGGCGATCCGGTAGTCTGGGCGGATCCCCCGGAGATTTCCCCGGGGGCTTGGCGGCTGCCCGCCCCTAGCTTCCGAGGAGCTGTTCCCTAGAGCATTGATTTCTTCTTTCTGTTGCTTCAGATGGGCAGCGCTCAGAGGCACAAAGAGTGGGAAGATGGACACCATCGCACATGTTAGAAGCAAGTTGAAAGGACAGTAAGGTATTCTGCTTGACTTCATTGCGCTTAGCCGTGCCAGCAAAATGGACTTTTCGAGAGGATGCTCTGGAAAGCCGGTTGATTTGGTAGAGGGTTATTTTCTTTCTTTCTTTTTTTTCTTTTCCGGTTAAGTGTTTACCAAAAAGCCGTTCACTGCTGGTTCCTTCAGATGGACGCTTTCTGCTCGAGATGGCCTCATTACAACTTCTGAGGGTGGAAAGGAACCCGAGTTTAGTCATGCTAATTCACACTTGATTTGGATATAGTACTGTCAGGTCTGTTCTTTTCAAAATGACATCATCATCACTCCAAAAGCCCGTGATTATTTTCATTTAGTGTTAGAATCAGCATGAAATCTAGAGAGGTGCTTGCTCCTCCAGTAAGTGATACTCTTAGGTTAGTAACTTTGTATTTGTTTACCAAACACTGAGTTGCAACAATTAATTGCCTCACTGGTAACTTAGCCATTTGCTTAGGTTACCCGGTTAGCCTCTATTAAGTGCTTTCAAATGCTTTAGTGACATGCCAGAAATTGTCCAGGGATTATTTATTTCATCCACGGAACACTCACATTAGCTCTTAAAGATGGAGCTGGTCTTACTCTGGAAAATTCTGGACTAGGGTTAGGAGTGAGACTTAGTTGTCTTCAGTTTTCAAAAGTTCAGATGAACTTCCTGTGCACTTCTGGTTGAGAATCATTGCTTTAGTAAGACCATGTGTTCTAAAGTTATTCTAAAATAATAATTTTTAAAATGAAGCACCGCATCCAGATTCAATTGCCAGCACCATATCACTTAATCACTTAACTTCCCATTAGTCGTCGATTTGCTCACGCGGGTGCCAGTAACGTCTCCATTTGTCCCTGTCACGTGCTAGTGTAGCCCAATGGCATCTGTTCGCTCTGGGAACATGAAGAGCCTCAAACCGATCGTTCATGATCTTGATGAAGAAGTCTGACCATCTGGTAGGTGGGCAGCCACACGGTCTTTTGACAACCCCCTGGAATCCAGTCGGTACCAGCACCATATATGAGCCCCCAAATCCTGCAAAGAGTGATTCCTGAGCACAGACTCAGGAGTGACCCAAACCAGCTCCCCTTCCACTTCCCCTACTCACCAATTTTAAGAAGTACTGTGAGGTAGTTATTTACTTTGGTTTAGTTTAGAAATAAACTGAAGAGACATAGTATAGTTGGTAGGGTTCTTGCCTGCTGTGGCAGACTTGGATTTGATTCCCAGAATCCCGTATGGTCTCCTGAGACTGCTAGGTGTGACCCCTGAGCACCTCTGGCAAACAAAAGGTAAACTGAGCATTTAAATCTAAACCAGAAAATTGTGTTTGTTCGGTAAGGGTAGGAAGTTTCACAGGCATCTGAACCTCTGGATTAACCATTATTCCAGATTTAGAGATGTGGTTTGATAAGAGGAGGCACAAAGTGGTCTGATGTGCTGAGCAGTCAACAGAGCCAGGTATGCAATGTCAGCTGTTGGGTTTGGGATGTTCTTGTTAGACTTTAAGCAGAGAACTCAAGGGCCTGCTCAATTAATTTACTAGGTTTAATTATTTTTACCTCAGTAAAGTGAAGTGGGGGTGAGGTGATAATGTAACAATCTTATTTTGGTAGGGATACTCTTGTTGGAAATAAATGTGATAACTCCCAGTATTCCTTTATTTATTAAATGAAGAAATAGGAATCATTTGTTAATATGAAGCACCGTGAAATCACCTGTCTGAATTTCATGCATGTTGAACATTTAAATGATAAAGGATTTTTAGAGTGCTGATGATTTTCAAAAGAAAAGATCTGCTAGTCCTATCCAAAGCAAATGTAAATATGAAGTATCTAGAATGAAACTTTTATAGTGAGGTAATTAATGGTAAAACAATTTCTAGTGTGACTTTGACAGTGCCATTAGGCAAAGGAGAGCAATTTTGAGATGAAAATTGAAACTAATAGATAAAAATGAAACCATATGTAGTTGTTTCATATTACTGATAGCTTGAATATCTTGAACAGAAGACCAGGAATCACAGTATGAACCAGTCTAGATCTAGATCAGATGACGGTGGTGAACAGACTTCATCTCAAGACCACAATCGCCATGAAAATGAGAGAAGATGGCAGCAAGAGCGTCTCCACAGAGAAGAAGCCTATTACCAGTTTATTAATGAGCTGAACGATGAGGATTATCGGCTAATGAGAGATCATAATCTTCTAGGCACCCCTGGTAAGAGATGGGGAAAAGAGAAGATGCCTTTATTATAAGGAGAAATTTCAAAATGAAGAATGTTTTCCCCTTCTTATTTCTTTCCCCATGGTTTAAGTATTGTTTACATGAATTAAAGACTTTTTATAGAGTGGCTTAGTGGTAAAGGGCAGACCTTGACTACATGCTATCTGGGTTTCCGCCTTGTGAGCGCCTCCCCCCCAAGAAGATCCCCCTCAAACAAAATTTTTTATCTAACAATAAGTCATTGACTTATTATCAGTGCATTTTTATAATTTATAAAGTAGGTAATTATATTGAATGTAGAGCACAGTTATACAGATATCAAACTATCAAATTAATGAGCTTCATAGCCAAATATTGATATGTGCGGTCCCATTTCTCAATATTTGTACAAATAAAGTATTACTTAAAATCTAATTCTAACTCATTTGAGGTACTATAACTTAATTGAATAAATAACTAGTTAATAGCTGAATTAGTCACTGAAAATGTTTAGTGTGCTTCATAAATTTTTAACATGTATGTTTGTCTCACTTTATTGCATACTGGTAACCCATATTATCAGCTATTGGGGTAAAATTCAAATAAATACTCAAATTTTTCCCTAGAAATACTCTCAACTTCATTTGAACTCTGACAGAAAGCCACATTTTGGGATACAGCATAATTGGATACAGCAGTGCTTTATGATATAGGCAGTACTGTTTGCCCAGTTGGGCCCTGGCACAATCTAGGGGAGATGTTAGTAGTTTCCATTGCAGTTGAGGGGCTCGGAGAAGATGTGCTTTTTCTTTGTTTGCTTAAAGAAGATAGGTTTCTGGGGAGTCTGAGTTAATTTTTTTTCCCTTAAAAAGGCGGTGAATGGCAGCCAAATAAATTTGGGGGCCTCTGTTGTAAAGGTCCTGAGAGTGAAATAATTTTTCATTGAATTGTGTATAAAGTTAATACATATGTATAAAGATTTTGGGCCACAACTCGCAATGCTTCGGGGTTACTCCTTGCTCTGTACTCAGTAGTTAACTCCTGGCTATGCTGGGGGACCATATGGGATGCCTGGGAATTGAACTTGGGTCTGCTGTGTGCAAGGCAAATGCTCTACCTGCTGTACTAACTCTGATCCCTTAAATTGTATCTTATTTTATTAGGGTGTTTTTTTGTTTGTTTGTTTTGGGATCATTCATACCTGGCGATGCTCAGGGATTACTCATGGCTCTGCACTTAGCAATTATTCCTGGCAGTGTTTGGGGGACCATATGGGACTGGAGAACTATTGCTCCAGTCCCAATATCATATTTTAATAAAATATAAATGAAACACAACCGGAAGCTTACTTGTATCAATATTTTTCACTCTATTAAAAAATGAAGAATGTTATTTAAAATGATAGAATTAAATATGATAGAATGTCTTCTACAATTTGCTACTTATTTGTCATGAGTTCTTACAAAACTTAGTGATAAAAAACAATTTCTCTTTGGCAATTTTTTGTTTTAGGAGAAATAACATCAGAAGAACTACAGCAGCGGCTAGATGGTGTCAAAGAACAGCTGGCATCTCAGCCTGACATTAGAAATGGGACAAATTCCCAAGGTACTGTGGATTCCTTTCGATAAGGAACAGGTTTGATTGGAGCAGTTGCAGACGTGTACTTCCTAGATCTTACACTGTATGTTTTCAGTCTTTTCTAGTTTTGCGATAGTCAGATGGCATTGATGCTTTGAAATGCAGAGCCGTATAGTTAGTTTAGGATAAGGGTTGAATATAAAGATGTCTAACACAGATTGTGTCAGGGTAGTTGTATATGTAAAGTGATGTAGCATTAAGGTAATTACCAGTATGATTCTTATTACCTTAGAATACATACTCCACTTCTTTTGGGGAGATGGTGCCCTCATACCCAATGGTGCTTAGGGGCTGCTTCCTCATCTTGGGTATACTCAGGGGACCATGTGGCACTGGAGATATAAACTGGGGTTTCTGCATGCAAAGCACTAAGGCCAGAGAGCCTTGCATGCTGCCAACTTTGGTTTGGATCTCTGGCACTACATATAGTCTCTTGAATATAGCCAAGTGTGACCAAAAAACTGCCCCCAAACTGTTTTTTATTTAATAAAAGTACATGCTCCAGCCCATTGGGCCATATCTCCAGCCCCACACAATACTTAAAAAAAATGGGCAGAGGGGACCAGAGTGATAGTACAGCAGGTAAGATATTTGCCTTGTATGTGGCTGACACAGGTTTTTCCCATATGGTTACCTGAGCTTGGCCAAGGATAATTCCTGAGTACAGAGTCAGGAGTAACCCCTGTGTATCACCAGATGTTTCTTGAAACCAAAATAAATAAAAACAATTTTATTGAAAATAGAGTTAGGGTGGAGGGTTTTAGGCACTTTTGGTGGTGGTGGAGTATATAGTAACTACACCTATCAGTACCTATACTTAAACTGTACTATAACCTTATTACTTAAACTATAACAACAATAAAAAGAAAAAAATAGACAAAACGTAACAAGTGAATGGAATTTAGAATAAAGCTTTATTGTCATGCTTACGAGTTCCACTTCCTTCCCACTGGTATTAATAACTTCACATATCAAGATTACTGTATTAGAATGAAGGCTATTAAAAACCCATAATGCAATGGCTCAGTAAGATTATTTCTCATGTTTACAGTTCAGGGAAGATGGGAAAACTTGAACCATGAGTCCTGCTGTTAGTTAGCCACTAGCAATTTGTTTTGTTTGGGGGCCACACACAACAGAGCTCAGGACTTATCCCTGGCTGTGTGCTCAGGGATCAGTCTTGGAATCTGGGGACCATGTGGAATGTCTGCAGCTGAATTCACGTTCAAGGCAAGCTCCTAACCACTATATATCTCTTCAGCCCCTGTCAACCCCTCCACTCACAGTTCCATAATTGCTGTCCAGTGCAGTAGCTACTGGCTACATATGATTGTTAAATACAATTAAAATCCAGTTTCTCAATTACAGTAGTAAACATTTAAACAGTATCACATGTGGCTAATGACTTCCTATTGAATAGCACATATATAGAACATCTCCATTACTGAAAATTTTAGTGGACACCGCTACTTTAGGGTACTTTATATGATCAATCTGTTATAGCCTCAGAAAAGTTCCAGGTGGTAGGAAGGAGGTCGAGGCATGAGTCTGCAATGATAGGCATTAATTCCAATTCTGTTCCAGTGACAAGAACTAGTCATGTGACTCAGTCAACTACCAGGATACTCACGTGACCATTGCAATGCATTAAAATAGAAGGATTTGGGGAGTAGAGAGATAGTACAGTGAGTGGGGAATTTGCTTTTCACGCGGCTAACCCAGGTTTGATTCCTGGCATTCCATATGGTCCCCTGTGCACTGCCAAGAGTAATCCCCGGGTGCATTTTTCAGGAATTGCCGGGTATTGCCCAAAAACAAAAACAAAAACAAAAAAAAATAGAAGGATTTTTGTTAGAGACTTTAACACACACAGTACATACTTTTTATTTTTTTAAATTTTTTAATTATTTTGCCTTTTGGGGTCACACGCAGCAATGCTCAGGGGTTACTCCTGGCTCTGCACTCAGGAATTACTCCTGGCAGTGCTTGGGGGATCATATGGGATGTTGGGTGTTAAACCTGGTTCAGCCCCATGCAAGGCAAATGCCCTACCTGCTGTACTACCTTGCTCAGCCCTGTACATTCTTTTAAAGAAGGAAGTAACATTCACTTCCTTAACGTTGATCTGCCTTTTTTCTTTTCTTTTTTTTCTTTTTTTCTTTTTGGATCACACCCAGCGTTGCTCCGGGGTTACTCCTGGTTCTGCACTCAGGAATTACTCCTGGCAGTTGCTTGGGGGACCATATGGGTTGCTGGGAATCGAACCCAGATGGGCCGCATGCAAAGGAAAACACCCGCATGCAGCTCCCTACCCGCTCCCGCTGTACTATTGCTCCAGCCCCTGATCTGCCTTTTGATAAAAATTCTTCTGAATTAAAATGGAACTTCTTTAGTATGCAATGTCTATAATTGGTATAGTTGGTAATACTGACCTCTTTAATATGTTTTATTGGGAAAGTTTTCTATAGATTGGAGAGATTAGTTAGTACAAGGGATTAAGGTGCTTTTTTCCATCCCACCAACACTGGTTTGAGTCCATGGTACCACCAATGGCCGCCTGAGCACTGCCAAGGCTCACTCCCAAGCACAGAACCAGGAACAGTCTCTGAGTACCCCTGGGTGTGATTCAGTCCCCACCTCCCCTCCCCGCCCCAAAAAAGGCAACAACAAACATTTTTCTGGCTGAGGATATGTCTAGATGACATATCATGTACTTACATGCATAAGACATAAAACCTAGTTCATTCCCCAGCATCCCCAAAATCAAGTATTTAAAATTTTTTCTATATTTGTAGTAAAATGAATGAATTTTACTGAATTCTATATTCTGTTAATTCACTAGTTAGAAAACCAGAAAAACAAAATTCTCATAGTGGCAGTTCTATAGTCAGAAGAAATTTATCTGGGACATACTAAATAATAATTGATAGTCTGATTTGTAACACTGTTGTAGAGATTGTGGATTTAAATAGTGAATGAAAGAAGGAAAATTTCTTATCTTCATGGAACTTACATTCTACATGAACAGAGACTATTTTATATGTAAAGGTTAACATTGAGTACTGCTTATATGCCAGGTATTGTATTAATCATTTTTATATGGTACATTATTTTATCCTCATGCTGACCCTTTGAGGTAATTATTTCCAGTAATGTCAGAGGGAACTTTAGTAACAGACCTGTAGTTTCCCAGTTCATATTAAGACAAGTAATGTGATTCTAATATTAATTTTAGAAATCTAGATTTTTTTCAATGTACATTTTTGGCAGTTTTTGAGAAATGGGATAAATTCTTCTTTGTTCGTGTGTTTCTGTGATACTCCAGTCCTGATTCTGTGCTCAGGGTTCATTTCTGGCAGTACTCTGTATCATTTCTGGTGCTAGGGATTGCATCTGGGTTGGCCGTATGCAAGGCAAGCACCCTACCTGCTATACTATCTCCATGGCCCCTGAGATAAAATTCTTAAAAGTTACAGGAATGTCTAGTTTGCATGACTGGGGAGATGGCTTCATGGGCTGAAGTGCTTGCTTTTCACATAGAAGTTCTGGGTTAGGTCTTGTCACTATATGGTTCCCCAAGCATTGTTGGGTGTGGTGCAAAACTAAAAACTAATTGTCTTCACCAGAAGGATTTGGTAAATACATAGTGAATTATGTTTGCCATTCTATTTTATTGATACTGCCTTGTAAGTAAAGCATTTAAATATAGTATTTTGGTAATGTTCCTCTTGCTGTTGTCTATTAAATATCTTCATTTTTCTTCATTTAAAGCATCTCTTATCTGTCATCTCTTCTTTATTTATGGTATTGTGTGTACTGTCTTTGAAGTCACTGATTCAGTTTTCTGAGGCTTTCATACAGCTTCTAAGTCCTAGTCTAGCATTCTTTAACCCCTTCATTTCAGTTTTAATGAATTCTTTGACATTTCCCCCCTCACTTTCTTTAAGTTTATCAAAAGGGTCTTCCAATGATTTTCTCAGTTTGGTGAACATCCAGAAAATTGTTACTCTGAAGTCATCCTCAGGGAGTGTCAAAAGTTCTGACTTACTTGAAGATTGGGACTCTGTCTCCATCTGGTGAAACTGTTGAATACCTCCATTTTCTTTTCTTCATTTCTATTACTTTATGGGTGCTAAAGTGGAGTTCTGATTTCCAAGTGGTCTGTCTGAGCAGTAATCCAGTGCTCCATTTCACAATGTCAGGCTAGTGCTTATGACCCTTTTGATTTCTGACAGCCCTGGCTGCCTTGTGAGGATTTCTCAGCAAGACTTATTGGAACGGAATGGGGTCCATTCCAGGACCCAGACTGGGACCAGGCCCCCAGTACATTCCTGTGAGCTCAGCTAGCAGGACAGCCAGGTACAGGGCTTTATAGGACCAGTTAATAGAGAGAGAAGCAAAGCTGGACATACCTAGGTCCTTGGATGGAAAGTATGGTGGGAGAGAAGAGGAGGCAGCAGGTAGGAGGAGGTAGGTGTGACTGCAGGTACCTGTGGTCCAAAAGGGGGTGGATTCACATCTGACTGTGATTTTCATACGTTTTTAATTAACCTATGTTCATGATACAAGAACGTGATCCGATTTAATTCTTTTGCATATGGCTAACTAATTTCCCTAAGATCATTTGTTGACAGTCCTCTAACTTTTCCATTATATGCCCTTGGCTCTTTAGTCATACATAACTACTCATTTACATGGGAATTCATCTCTAGGACTTTGATTCTCTTCCATTAATGTGTACATCTGGTTTTATTCCAGCATGTAGCTGTTGTTAGTACTGTTTCTTTTCAGTATAGTTTAAAGTGAGGAGACAAAATGCTGCATATCTTCTATTTTGCAGTCAAGATTGCTTTGCACATTTGGGTCTTTTTGGTTTTATACAAATTTTAATAAATGTTTAATAGGGCTGGAGCGATAGCACAGTGGTAGGGCGTTTGCTTTGCACGCAGACAACATGGCCGACCCGAGTTCAATTCCTCCGCCCCTCTCGGAGAGCCCGGCAAGCTACCGAGAGTGACTCGCCTGCACAGCAAAGTCTGGCAAGCTACCCATGATGTATTCAATATGCCAAACACAGTAACAATAAGTCTCACGATGGAGACGTTACTGGGCCCGCTCGAGCAAATCGATGAACAACGGGAGGACTGTGACTGTGACTGATTTTGGTATTGGGTATTTTTTGATTAGTCTTAATTTGTCAGTAATAGGCATAAATATATGAGTTGGATTTACTATGGCTTTGCATAAATGCTATTTATTTTTTATTTTTTTAAATGACGTGATGTTTTAAAAAATTTTATTTATTCTGGTGGTACTAAAAGGTTACTCTGGTGGTGCTCAGCAGACCATATGGGATGCCGAGGGTTGAACCTGGGTCATCCATGTGCAAGGAAAACGCCCTTCCACTGTACTACTTCTTCGTCCCATGCTATTTATATTTGTGTTATTATATGCTTATAATTTAGACCTTTTAGACATTTCAGAGTATTTTGAATATTTTAAATAAAAATCACTTTTTATTTAAGTGCACACATGTTCTTTTTTTTGTGTGTGTGTGCCTCAGTGGTACTCATGACGCCCGAGTGCCCTAGCAGTATGTGCATTCTCCACTGTCTGGACTCTTGTCTACCTACTATGCTGGGAATCTCCAGGGTCAGACTCAACAGTGCTCCAGGCCTCTAGGGATGAACCAGATGATGCTTAGGGGACCTTGTGGCTCCAAAGATAAATTCTAGCGACTGTATTATATCCTGGCCCTAGAAAACATGTTTTATTGTAACATACTCAAAGTTTAATATGGATATACATATTAATAATTCTGTTACCAAGAAATATTTAGTGCACACATGTTCTTATGCATAATTTAATAAAAATATTTTCTAAGAAGTGTTTTATAAACACCTAAGAATAGATTTTGGGGAACTGGTCTTACATTGCTTTGGTTTGCTCTTTAGACTCAGAAGATCCAAGAACAAGTTCAAATGAAGATTCTCTGCTAGAATGGTTGAATACTTTTCGTCGCACAGGAAATGCAACTCGAAGTGGACAAAATGGGAACCAAACTTGGAGAGCTGTGAGTCGAACAAACCCAAACAGTGGAGAATTTCGGTTTAGTCTGGAAATTCACATCAATCATGAGAATAGAGGATTTGAAATTCATGGTGAAGACTATACAGGCATTCCACTTTCAGATAGTAGCAGAGAGCATATTGCAGATAGGCAGCAGAGATCAACTAGTCCTGTGGCTAGGAGAACAAGAAGCCAGACTTCAGTGAATATCAGTGATAATAGTTCCAACATTTCAAGGACTAGGCTTGGTTCTAGGGTGCAGAATTCAGTAGAAGGATCTTTATCAGCACTGGGAAGATTAAGAAATGGAATTGGGGCGACAGTTGGCATTCCTGGAACTAGTGCTCCACGCACTAATTTCAGTAACCACACGAACCAGTCAGGTGGTAGTGAACTCAGGCAAAGGGAGGGGCAGAGATTTGGAGCAGCACATGTTTGGGAAAATGGGGCTAGAAGTAATGTTACAGTGAGGAATACAAACCAAAGATTAGAGCCAATAAGATTACGGTCTACTTTCAGTAGTCGAAGCCGCTCACCTATTCAGAGACAAAGTGGCACTGTTTATCATAATTCACAAAGGGAAAGTAGACCTTTGCAGCAAACTATGAGAAGGTCTGTTAGAAGGAGAGGGATAACTCGTGTCTTTTTAGAGCGAGGTAGAGAACGCAGAGGTACTACCTATACTCCATTCTCTAACTCAAGACTTGTGTCAAGAATAACAGTTGAAGAAGGAGAAGAACCCAGCAGATCTTCAACTGCTGTACGACGTCATCCAACAATCACACTGGATCTGCAAGTTAGAAGGATTCGTCCTGGAGAAAATAGAGATCGGGATAGTATTGCAAATAGAACTCGATCTAGGGTAGGGCTAGCAGAAAATACAGTCACTATTGAAAGCAATAATGGAGGCTTTCGTCGAACTATTTCTCGTTTAGAGCAGTCAGGTATTCGAACCTATGTTAGTACCATAACGGTTCCTCTTCGTAGGATTTCTGAGAATGAGCTGGTCGAACCATCATCAGTGGCCCTTCAGTCAATTTTAAGGCAGATCATGACTGGATTTGGAGAACTGAGTTCTCTAATGGAGGCTGAATCTGAGTCAGAGATACAGAGAAATGGTCAGCATTTACCAGATGTGCACTCAGAACTGGGTAACTTAGGTCCAGTTCATATTGAAGATTCCTCACAGGACATGCAAACCCAAGAAGATAGCACTGAAATGCCTGGTGCAAATGAGACCACCCGCCCTCGTACCCGAAATAGAGATAGTAGAGGTGGTAGGCAGCAGCGAAATTCAAATAACTTAGTTGAAACTGGAACACTACCTATTCTTCGCCTTGCACACTTCTTTCTACTGAATGAAGGTGATGATGATGATCGTATACGTGGTTTAACCAAAGAGCAGATTGACAATCTTTCCACACGGAACTATGAGCATAATAGTATGGATGGTGAACTAGGTAAAATCTGTAGTGTTTGCATTAGTGACTATGTAACTGGAAACAAGCTCAGGCAATTACCTTGCATGCATGAATTTCATATTCATTGTATTGACCGATGGCTCTCAGAGAATTGCACTTGTCCCATCTGTCGGCAGCCTGTTTTAGGGTCCAGTCTAGCAAACAGTGGGTAAAGAAAGTAATAGAGCTATTGAAATACTGCATTTTAGTAGAGCTGAATATTCAAGAGTCTTCTGTTGAGTTATTTGTGATGAGCTAACCAGGATGAAAAATAACAGATTATTATAGTTTGAACTATTTTTTGTGTGCTTTTTTAACTTGTTAAAAAGAGAAAATTTATACAAAACTTAAAACTCAAAGTTAAATTATCCAAAAGTACAGAATAGTTAATATTGCTAGAACCAAATAATCTTTAAAATGTTTTTATTTTGGTAATTTTGTCATGCTAAGCACTTTTGTACCTGCACAGTTCAGTAGGTTAAGAAAAATCAGTCTTCTTTTTCTTAATAGTTAAGCAGACTTGACTTTCAGGTTCTATAGGTGTAATACAATAGACGTTGGTGTCTATAAATAAGTCTTTCATTAACTTTTTTTTCTAAGGGCAGTTTGTTTTCACGAAAGAATGTTTGGCTGAATGTTTACTAAATGTATTTATATTACTTGAAATGTTAAATTCAATATGCAACGTACCATATGTATATGTGTGTATATATAGACATATAATTTTAAGGTTAAGATACTCGATCTAAAAACTGCCATTTTGGTTCTTATTTAAGCTTTTGGACTATTTCTGCATATGGCACAAGATTTAATATTTACAAGATCATCTCTGGGAGGAAGTGGATTAAGACATTTAAAAGTAGAGAATTTACTGAAGCGTCTCTGACAATCTGACTTCTTAGCAAGCAATATATAATATTGAACAAATATAATACTGAACAAATAATTCATTTTTCAGAAATGAAACATCGATATTTTAGAACATATAGGTTATTAATAACTTGAGTTTAGCCTTTTTGTGACTCTTTTAAAAGTGCAAACAATTCTTTGGATCCTATTAAAGTATGTGATATGCATGGTTTCTCAAATTTAGTTTAAAATCTAAAAGTCTATAAGGAATCAAATGTTAGATAACATGTTAAGTTCACTTGGAGGCAAAACAACTCCAGTAATACAGAACAAAAAACCTTAAGAGAATGTAGAATTTATATAAACAAAAGTATGCATTGAAGATATATTTCTACCAATAAATATTAAAACAAGGCTGTGTGTGAACTATTATTTTCTAATAGTCAACTGTGGTTTATTTGCTCAAAAAATACCTTGTACCAACTGACTGCCTGGCAGTTTAACAGGTGTTGAGTATTGAGCAGAGGACAAATTTCCTATCTTTGTAGGAAAGACATACTTGCTATTGGTGGATAAAATGAGATAATCTTCTGACTTGCTTTTCTTTTGGAAGTCTAGGGGTGGTGGGATCTCCCAGGTAATACTCAGGAGATAGCAGACTCTCCTGGTGATACTGAACCAACTATGCTGGGGCAATTCAGTGCTCTGTTCAGACCCAAGCACTACCATCTCCAGCCCTGATAGGCCTGCTTTCTTTATAAGTATTATTTTCCTGTGTTGATACTGTTTGGCACAATCAAAAAACAGATAACATCAGGTCAAATTCTGTTATATTTAGGTATCTGAAGATTTAACTTTCTGTTTGATTAGTTATTATATTCAGTTCATTAGGTAAGATGCATTATAGGAAATATTAAAGAGTGAATTTAATAACCTTGGTTGAAAAGTTAGCTATGGCCATTCCTGGAGTTAACTGCATACGTAGGTCAATCATGAAATACAGGATTGAAAAGTTTGAAGACTTTGATGAACTACTATTTTTTTTTTTTGTTTTCGCCACTCTATTTTTTTAAATTAATTTTATTGAATCCCCATGAGATAGTTACGAGATAGTTACAAGCTTTCATGTTTGGGTTACAATCACACAATGATCAAACACCCATCCCTCCACCAGTGTACTTTCCCCACGACCAGTATCCCCGGTATAACCCCCCTTTCCCACCCTCCCTCTGCCTCCATGGCAGATATGATTCCCCATAATCTCTCTCTACTTTTGGGCATTATGGTTTGCAATACAGACCCTAAGAGGTTGCCACTCTATTTAAACACCATAGTTTACAAAGTTCATAATGATTTGTTACAGGCATCCAATATTCAACACCAATCCCACCACTACTGCCACCTTCCCTCCACCATTGCCTCTATTTTCCCAATCACCCCTCAAGTCTGCCCCTCCCCCCCCAGCAGGCCCACAAGAAAATGTGAAAGTGTTGTATCTTATCATGGCAACATTTAGTCCTTGTCTGAGGGTTTACTAAGCTGTTGTTGCAAGTTAAGCCTTTTGTTTGAATGTTTTTGTTAGTTGCAATGAGTTGGCTTCTACATTACAGTTCCTATCCAAACTGGTGTGCTCCTGTGTATGTTAATATTGTAGAGTTTGGAGATGTTGCTCCAGAAAATCCAAAATATTTAAGTGGGCAATCTGGCTAGAGACATGGCTGCAGCTATTAGGATGTGGGTGACTACCTGGGCTTTGGTAGGGAGGGAAATTGGCTCCTCCTTTCCTCTGCCCTCATTTCCCAAGATTATCCTGGAGGTCTCAGCTAGGACTGGGTATCTGAGAAACTTTTGTGAGTAGTTGATCTCTTTTGAGATTTATGAGCCTCTGAAGCAGAGCCAATAGATGAATTTATATGGTAGCACCATGGGATGTGTGTGTGGCTTCAGGTGCTTCTGGGAAGTACAGGGAAGTGGGAGATTGCCCATCCTGACTCTGAGAAGGTCTGGAGATTTCAGCAAAAAACAAAAAAACCAGTGCACCTGAGAATTTCCACAAGTTAGCAACTCTTTGGAGCACGGTCATGAGGTGGTAGAGACCAGCTAGAGGCATGGCAGCAGCTGTTGGGGTGTGAGTGCAGCTGCCAGGGCTTTGGTAGGGCATGAAATTGGCTTGTCCTCCTCCTGAGAATGCCCTGGAAGTCTCAGCCTAAACTGGGTATTAGAAATTTTTGTGGCAAATTGTTATCTTTTGAGATTTATTTATGAGTCTCTGAAACAGGGTCTGTATGTAAACAAGGTTGACGTGGTGGTAGCAGTGGATCGAGGTCACAAACTACTTTTTTGCATTTTTTTATTGCATCACCGTGAGATATAGTTATAAAACCTTCATGTTTGAATTTCAGTCATACAATGATTGAACACTCATCCCTCCACCAGTGCACATTCTCCACCACCAATGTCCTCAGTATAGCCCCCTTTCCAACCCTTCCCCCACCTCTATGGCAGACAATTTCCCCCATATTACTCCACAAACTACTATTTATCTTACAAACTTTAGATTTTTGTCTGTTTAAGGACGATAGGTAAAATACAGCGTTCAAAACAAAGGGAAGCAAAACAAAACAAAACAAAAAACCCCAAAACAAAGGAACTGTTGTGAGCGGTTATGTAACATAGTTATCTAACTTAGGTTCATGACAGTGAAACAGGAGAGAAAGAAGAGGGTATAAAAATGTTGGAGGTGGAAGAAAAATGTGAAGTTTCTAGTTCAATATGAAGAGGTAGGAGAGACATCCATTCACAAATGACAAAATGAGAGCCTATTTCAAGTTAAAAACAGCCTATTCAAAGTGCCAATTTAGACATCACTAGTACCTTGTTTTATGTATCTTAGACACCCATTTCAATGTTACTGTTTGTTCCTAGTATGACGAGACTAAATTTAGTATTTTAGTTCTCATGGTATATTTCTCAAAGTCTTACATCTGGTAGGAAAATAAAGGGAACAAAGGTTGGGGGAAATTTAAATGAAACAGGAATAAAGAGAAAGGAAGAAAGTTTTAAAGTAGGGATTAAGTAAAATAAGCTGGCCAGGATATAGTACAGTGGTTAACACTACACACATTTGACCAGGGTTTGATCTCTGGCACCACATGGTCCCTTGTGGGTGGCCTGAGTAATTTTCAGCCCTGAAGGACCCTAGTAGCACATCCAGTAGCACATCTCCCTCCAGCCCTTGTACTGCATCACTTCTTGCCCAAGAATCACAAGTGGAGGCCATAGGCCTCCTAAGCACAGCTTGGGATGCCCCTCTCCCAACCTCACCCAAAAGTGTGAAGGTAAAAGCAAATTGTCCTGATTTTTTCCTAGTCTTGTAAGATATGTGCTAGAGAGCTAGTATGTGGATTAAGTCTTTTGCCTCATATGCAGCTGACGCTGGTACTGTTTCCAGCATTACATATGATTCTCTAAACTTCAGGAGTGATCCCTGAGCGTACAGTCAGGGGTAGCTCCCTGCCAGGGATCCCCTCCCTCTCCCCCACTCCATTCCCCATTCCCCCCACCCCTCAAAAAACCCCAAAATCTTACAAGACTAAAGTTATGCATTCCCCTACTCAGCACCATGGTACCTGGATTCAAAATCAGGACTTCAGGACTTCATGACCTGCATTTGAAGAGCTCTCAGGTAGGCATTTGAAATAATATTAAGTTGTATACTATATAGAAAATTTCCTGAAAGCACCAAGAAAACTTAATTTTATAATTGACATCCTAATTGGGAACAAAGAAGTATTTTCTTAAATCTTTTCATTCATTTTCCAGTACACAAGGCTGGTAACAAATTCAAAGGCTCATTATCTATAACTTTCATTTAGCAGTAATCTGTACCCTTTGTGTGGCTCAACATAGAAAGGAACAAAGGGTTTAAAATTCATTTGATTTTTTTTTTTTTTTTTGCTTTTTGGGCCACACCCAGCAATGCTCAGGGGTTAATCCTAGCTCTGTGCTCAGGAATTACTCCTGGTGGTGCTTGGGGATCATATGGGATGCCGGGGATTGAACTCAGGTCGGCCACGTGCAAGGCAAATGCCCTACCCGCTGTACTATAACTCCGGCCCCTAAAATTCATTTGAATATGTTCCACGTCATGTAATACGTGTAATACAAGTTTTTCTTGATGATGTGACTGCCTTGCAAAAATCTGTTTCTAAACTGTTTCCTGCTGCTGCCTATCTTTTGACTCTGCTTTTTTATAAACCTTTTACACTGATTCCCAAGTTTCTTGTTATAGCCTATATAGGATTATATTTTATTTACTTTTATTAATTATGCTATCAGTATTTAACATGAGTTAATAACCCTCCCAGGTGTTAATCTACCTGTCATGGTTCAGTGGTAGTTTAGACGTTCAGTCATAGGACCATCTTCATCCATGTTCTTTGTGCTCTTCCTACTATACTGTATTCCGAAGAAACAAATCGTCTAGTATTGGAAATTTTAGGGCATTGTAGGAAGGTTTTTTCTAAAGACACATTTCTAATTTTGTGATTTTGTTATATCATGTCCCTATTCCTAAAAGACAGGAAAAGCTGTATTATAAGGATGAGCCCAGGAAAGAAATAAAAGAGATATTTAAAGATGTATTAAAGACCAGAGTTAATGAGTCTGAGCCATTTTCATGAATCTTCCAGACAAGAATTTATAATGAACATCTAATCTTCCTGCATTGCTCTATTTGAATAATATGTGACCAGAAGAAATTATGTAGAAATAGTACTCGAAGTGATGAAGGTAGTTATTACTCTATGTGGCTGCAGTCTCCTTTTGGAAGTTCACTATCAATCTTGAGTAACAGTGGAAATCAGAGAGCTGAAATATCTGTCAACACAGTGGATATGATTTTCCAGGAAGTCATCACTGAGAAGACCACATGTTCCGAATTTCAAAGGATGTAGTTGTAAATGTTAGTGGTGATTATTTTCTCAATCTTTAGAGACAGATTGTGAGTTTTTGTCAGTGATTTTGTGTATCCCAAATATATTTTTTCTTGTGGTAATTTGGGATCCAGAATTACATTCAACATTTTTTGTTGGGGATATAATTTATTTTTAAAAAATTTTTATTGTCAGCCAGAATCTGGAAAAAACCTGAGTGCCCAAGAACAGATGACTGGTTAAAGAAACTTTGGTACATTTACACAATGGAGTACTATGTAGCTGTTAGAAAAGATGAAGTCATTAAATTTACATACAAGTGGTAAAGGTAAGGTAAAGGTAAAGGCCCTCCCGTTGATCGTCGATTTGCTCAAGCGGGCCCAGTAACATCTCCATTGGAGACTTTGTTGTTACTGTGTCTGGCATATCGAATACTCTCGGTAGCTTGCCGGGTTCTCCGAGAGGGGCGGATACAAGTG